TATATGTAATCAGGTCCAAAGCCAGGCATATTTGCATGTCTTCAGCAGCTTAAACTGATCTCTGTAATTAGATACTGAAAGTCCGTACATTTAAAGCAAACAGTTACAAATTCACAACTTTACATGGTACAAAATCAAAGAAAATATAATGATGGTCGAAGGTTTGTAGACACCTTCATACTTCTAACAAGTCATTCCTCTCCCAAATGCCAAAACCGAAGTCTGGACACACTTATCAATACAAGTCCTAATTAAAAAAATCATTGTTTCATAATATACAGAAAGCATTTATTTTCCAAACATTCGTTCTTTTTTTTTTCGAAATTCTATCCAAGTCTGTCTTTTAGCCTATCTTTTATTCTGTATAGAATGATAGATTGTAACCATGATAGTGCAAATTACCGTCTGCTTAGTAAATTTAAAATAAATATAATCTGACGATTGTCTACAAGTATAAAGTTTCCCCCAATCAGTTTTTATGTAATATATCACAATAGGCAGTAAGATATAAGTAAACAATAATATTTATTCGAAGAGACAGATGTGTATATTTTGTCTGAAAATTACGCCCCATGACAGTATAAATGAAACTTTTCTGGACTTTTTACGCGGGCATTTTTGACGGACTGTCATACACACCACAGCGTTGCCATAGCACTTGTTTAAGGTCTTGCTAGAAATGTTGTGTCTCATTACATTTTTTAAGGTATATGTACATGTTATTTGAACCTATTCACGTGTCTTTATACCCTATTTTTATCACTGTTTAAAGATATAGCATGATACGTGCATTTTTACCGCGTTTTATCCATTTATGATTTTTGTAAGCAAGTTCTTTTTTCCAAAACCACTGGATATATCCATTTAGAACTCCAGAAATGTTTTCTGGGTCATACTTGTTGATCTTTGACCAAGACACGTAACTCTTGCATTAACTTTCACTGAATCATTCCCCTTGGTGAATGACATTAGAACTTCACAAATGTCTTCTGGGTCATACTTGTTGATCTTTGACAAAGACACATAACTGCATTAATGTTCACTGTGTCATTCGCCTTGGTGAATTACATTATTCAGGTCCATAGCACTTTTCTATTCAGCCAGTACATATTTTGAATGTTTCTTTTAAAATGATGAATTGTTTTGATTGACAAATCCATGTAAGATATTAATCGTAGAAAGTGGTAAACGATTAACCGAACATATATTCTGGCATACGTACTGTTCAATATTATAGGGCCTTTTACTCCACTGCCGTTCATGGATAGGCTCAGTTTTGGGACGGCCATAAAGGTTTACATTTTGTCTTTTTCATAGACACAGTCATAGAGAAAATGGGTATAAAAGACAGCATTAATGATGAGTAATACTTTAGAGAAGAAAAGATTGAATCAGAGCTGTAATAACTCATGCAGATGGTTGCATGTTACAAGACGTGTACTTTTTGTTAACATTTCTAATTGCTCAGCATTTCTTCTTATCTTTTATTAATGGTAAAAAAGACCTTGCGCAACGTTCAATTTCCGTCTGAGCACTTCTTTGACGAATTGTTTCGATCACTTTACAACTTGAGTCCAGACTTATTCAATCACTATCTATTGACAGGAATTGAGAGAAAATATTGCACAAAATGTAAAAATACAGACATGGGATCAATGAGTAGATATGATAGTTGACTGTTTTAACAATTTCCCTGATAATTTTAGCAGACCAAGTATTACAATAGCCATTTAGTCTTTTATCATTTTAGACAAGGTAAACGAAATTCACATTTGGCTACAGTTCCGAGGCATTGATTACTAGTATCAAAAAGTCTAAAGATTATTAACCTTGAACCAATCGAGGCACCGTATGATTGCTAAGAGCCATGGTAATTTTTTATCCTTATATGCAGCATAATATGCCACATTTGTAGATATAATCATGAAAATGTCAAACCATGTTAATACTACTGTTTATTTGTCTATATTATAAGAAAGGGTTACACTCCTTCTCCAGATCTCTTTTTACAAGTTAGAGACAAAAAGATAGCTACATTAACTGATATGTTTAACTTTTACTTTTACTTTTTACGACTGATAAAGTTTAACTCCCTGAATTTCAGATACTAATGCTTTGCTGTTATAAAAGAGCCATGTCTCTTTACAGTCTATCTAGATCTATTGGCTGCTTAGATTTTCCAGATTTCGCAACGCCTTTGAAATCTCCCGGATCGTTGGGCATTCGGACAAAGTGTATAAAAGAGTGGAACAAAACTTTCTCTGTGTAATGCGCTTTTGACGCGTCCTTTGTAGGCCGCTCCGACTATCTCGCCAGATTCCTATACAAACACAAAAAAATCAGACGTGTCACGCAAGACACATCTATCACACACTTTTAGCAGGTAAAGGTGTTCTATTGAATCATAAACTTAATGTTGTCTGTTCTATATATGTTAACTGCATGACGACAATAAGTTATGTTTCTTTACACTATTAAAGGAAAAAGAGATTCCATCAATCACCAAACACATCAAACTCTAATAAATGATTCTGTCCATACTTCTCTTCCAATGTTTACATTTTGTCTCATTCAAACTTATTTTTGTATCCTCTAATTACATAAAAAACATTTTCAATGACATTCGTAGAGAGCAATCCCGAAATCAGCCCGGATGAAAGGTAATAAACCACCTCTCAGAGTTTCCAATTTTAAGAAAACTATCAGAAATAATTAAATGCAGTGTCAATAATGAATTGACAACATTTTTCCGCATAATTTGAAGTTTAAATATTTTAAAAGAAGGCAAAATTTACAGAAATTTTCTAAGATAATAAGAAAGCTTTTAAGGATGAAGAAGTCACGTTTTTAAAATATAAAAAAAACCCATAGCTCATGGATTGACATAATGACTGGCTGCAGAGAAACAATTTTACTTTGACATGATAATTTAATCTTTACACATTACTTTATTGAGTGACATGCATGCTGGTTGTTGTTGTTTGTTTTTGTTGTTGTTTTTATGTCCCCTGAAAAAGTTCGTTTGTTTTTGGACAAAGGGCAAAGATATTACCTACAGATGACGACACAATATCTCAACTCGACACAATATCTCAACTCGTAGTACAATTACATTGTAGTTGGAATAAATAGATTTATTTTCTTTTTAGATATTTTGCATTTCTCACAAAGAAAGCTTCTTTCGTCCATGCTTTGATAAAATGACAAACTTTCAAATAAAATCAAATAATATACAAAATAATACAAATAACATTATTGCGAATAAAACATTATTACAATGTTTATAGCAAAACAAAACATATATACATTTCATGAAAATGAGATCTGACATTGAATGAAAAAAATAATAACACTATTTCCTGAAAGGTCTTGAAATACTGAGGAAATAGCAGGTTGCACAAAATTTCTTAAATATGATATTGATACTAAATCAAGATGTTAATATGATATTAATTGATACTACATCATCAAGATATTCTCTCTTTATTAGCAAAATATAAAAACTTCGAAAGTTGTATAGCTCTATTTTCGATTTAGAATTTAATAAAGACTCAAATTTATTAATTGTCGGCCACCTACAGAAATATCCCTTTAAAAACTTTTTTCTAAGCTCTCTATATCTAGGACACACCGTCAAAAAGTGAAAGCAAATAAAATCAAGTCAGGTAGGTTGTTCAGTTTTTTAGTGATTCCAATTATTTTTATCAAGTCTTTTCCAAAATGAAAGCTTAAAGTTCAACACGACTACACCTATAAGTAACGTATTTTAATGCTTATTAACTCATTGGAATATATTTTGAGATTGTAAAGTGAAGAAAAAAATTCCCACGAAAGAATCAAAGGTCGCACGATGATTAAAAAAATCACTTGGTTATTTTTGACTATCTTATAAAATCTTAACACTTTAAAGCACATATAAACAAACTTGAATTGTTACTTTGCAATTTCATTTATTTAATTATCATTCATCAAATGTTTACTAGATCTATAAGGCTGTAAAAGAAATGACACATGCCAATCAGACTCATTAAAATTATTCTATCTTATCATAAATACATTTAATAAAATAAATTTAATTTATCCTGCATGTTGTGACCACACTGAGTGAAATTATATATGTACATAATTATGCAAAGAAAACAATTTTCAAACATCGAAGAATATGTAAAATATGTACTGCAAATATTTGTGCATATTATATTTTATCATTAAAATATATGCATTTATTTCTCATTGTAAAGTTTGACTATAACTTTATAGAAAATAATTTTTTATTACCTCCCTTTATTTATATGTTAAATTCGGTAATATCTTTAAATTATGCTTTTTGGAACCTACAATATTGATAAATTATAATTTGAGTATCATATTTATTATTTAAAACCATAAAAAATTGTATTTCAGTATTTTCAAGACTACTGTGTAGATATTCTTTTGATAAATTATAATTTGAGTATCATATTTATTATTTAAAACCATAAAAAATTGTGTTTCAGGATTTTCAAGACTACTGTATAGATATTCCTTTGCATGCACTTTTCAAACAATGGTGTTTTTAAATCGGATTGTCCTCTTATTTGTAAGAGATAAAGTGGGGACAGGGGGACTCATTGTCGTAAAAACCGAGTTATAAAAAAAATACGCACACGTGTTACAATCGACTCGTGCATAACTTGCACGGTAATTTCATGAAATCTTGTTGGAAAATATCTTTTGCATTTAAAAAAATCTAAATTCAACTTTTGGAATATCTACATGTATCTATCTTTTGAAAAAAAAAGCCTACAGTACACATTATATACATATATGTATTAGATCTATAATTGAATATTCAATTTTCTATTTCTAGTATAAAAATGAGTACCACTTAATTAATAAATCAGTACAAAAGTTCAAACAACACTTAGTTGCTTAAGAAATGCACGTATTTCATATCGTTTGAAATAAATAATAAGTCATATTCGGTTGAACGAATTGTTAACTTCTCTTTAGGCTAAGTGACAAGGAAAATAAAGAAAAAGAGAGCGGATGCGACAATAAGCGACAACCTACTTTCGATTTGAAAACTCTAGCCCCGGAGCGCGCATATACAAAATCAATACACAGCAGCAAACGCAATCCAGCTGTCAGCCAGGCAAAATGGCCGAAATCGTAGGGAAGGGTGTGCAACGAAGAGGAGCTTTAAGGCAGAAAAATGTGGCAATTGTTAAGGATCATAAAATGGTGCAAAGGTTTTTTAAACAACCTACATTCTGTGGTCATTGTAAGGATTTTATTTGGTAAGAAATTATTTGTGTTACGGAATAACTTTGTAAAATCTTAACGCTGTAGATAAACAGAGTGAATTGACATTAGATTTCGCGTTACGATTTCCTGATATTTTTAGTGTTTTTATTTCTGGTTCACGATATATGACATGCTTCGAGGTGTCAGTTTTTGAGAGGATATATTTTTTTATTATTTATTTCAGGGGATTTGGAAAGCAGGGATTCCAGTGTAAAGGTAAGAGCATTTATTTTCATTACACAGGTAAAACTGTAAAATATTGAATATGGAAAATATTAGCTAACATTTAAACTCTGCATAGATAGTCTATTGGATAATTTTACAACCAAGTGTAAGTATGGGATGCTCTGGCATAGAACGAGAAATGGTTATCTTAAAAAAAGATAGAAAAATATATAAATTAATTAAAAAAAAGAAGTTTTTTTTAAGAATTCCACAAATAATAAATTACAGACTCTTCTATATTTGTCTTTAACACATAGCATATTAATTTTTATATTGTCACAGAAGAAACATAAGTTTAGTATTTTAATTACCTTTTTTTATGGAGATGATGAATATACTGTAGGTATCAAATTACTTTAATTTAATTAAAAAAAAATAAAAGTAAAAGTTACAGGTCTATATTTACATAAGTTTATGGTTTAAAATTAACAAGAAATAAAATCTTCATCTAATTTAAATTTAATATTCTTTTATTAGTTTAATATTTTGTTATTGTTTTAATATACACATGATATATACTATTTTACAACTTTACAAGCATAATCGTTAATTTTACATACAACCTGAGAGCTCTGAAAAGTTCTAAAACATAATAATATGACCTCCCCTGATAGACTTGCACCTTTGCTATATGAAGAATAGACTTATTTCATTTATAGAATAGATGTTTTTTTCTCCTGTATTCATTGTCATCGTTATAGCCTGTATTTCGTTTAACACTACAACAGCTTTTACATGTAGATTTAATTCTATATGACATTTATCTAAAATTGTTATGTCATGTCAAACAAGTTACAAGTTCTTCTATGTTTCCCTCTCTTATACATCACAAAGTGAAGAAATTACGTCTGCCCCTACATGTTATTACAACTAAAATACAAGACAACTAAAATACAAGATAAACTTCACAGTGTACACATTATATATATGAAAGAGATGTAGAGATTTATAACATTTTTTTCATCCTGCTATGAAAGAAATAAATTCAATCTAAGATAATAATTGAGCGGCGCCATGACAAAACCAACATAATGCATTTGCGACCAGCATGGATCCAGACCAGCCTGTGCATCCGCGCAGTCTGATCAGGATCCATGCTGTTCGCTTACAAACCCTAAAACAAGTAGAGAAACCAATAGCGAATAGCATGGATCCTGATCAGACTGTGCGGATGCCCAGGCTGTTCTGGATCAATGTTGGTCGCAAACCCACTATGTTGGTTTTGTTGTGACATGGCTCATATTTTTTACTGATTATCATAATCACTATATTTTTGGTGACACATGGAATATCTACAACTTATTTTTTGAAGATAGGAATAAAAGTAATTATAACAGTCACTGCATACTGAATTATTGGCATACATGTATAGTGTTAATCCATTACTTAATACATCTCTGTTTAAAGAAATAAAGTAATAAATGAAATAAAATTTGAAATAAGCAAAAGAAATCAAAGAGAAATTCATAAAAATGAGAAAAAAACTCACTTTTTTTCCTGGATTTAATTCTTAATGTTTTTAGTGCTAAGTACTTTAAATCACTCTACTAAACACTAGAGCAAAAGCATTTCATTTTTGAATTTTCCTTAATATTTTATTGCTAAGTACGTAAAATCACTCTAGAAACAATATAGAATAAATTTCCTTGATTTTGTCATAGATGTGTATCTGAATAGTCAGTTTTACATTACAATTTACAAATTCTTCATTTCTATATATTTCATTTGCAATACAATTACTTTAAAAATTACAATAATGAATATTTTGTTTCATGTGGTCCATTTGTAGGCATGTTTTTTTGTTGTATTGAAGATTTACATCCTCGATTTTACTTAATTTTTCATACAATGTCATACTTTCGTTGACCTTGAGTTATTTACATACCCTAGATTATTTAAGGATATCCTGCTAACTATATTATTTGATTAATATGCTATTTACATACAGAGTTTTACATCTGTAAATGAACTGACCAAATGTCATTTGCATATTATTATTATCTGACCTACATGTAAGGCCGTGCACATATAAAATCTGGCCAAAAGTTGTTAACATGCTTTTGTGCTTATGAAATAATCCACAGCTGCTCTTGTAACCTTTATTGATTAGCCAAGAGCTGTTAGTTGCCTTTCTTTATATTAACTAAACTAGTATATTAGAGCTGTAAATAATGTAATGGTGTTTTAATGTAATGTTGTTCTTTTAGCTGCAAGAGCCTGCAATGATTTAGGCAAGAGCTGTTTCCCTACACTGTATTAATTTAGACTAAAGTAAGAGCTGTTTAAGTACTATGTAATGATTTGACCATTCATCATTAACAGACTATGTGATAATTTAACCAAGAGTGGCTTAACATTATACCATGCTGTTATCTTACCAAGGGTTTTTTTACACACAAGGTTTGAATGCCTGCTATCAACATTATTGTTAATTATTGCAATTCTGAGTGAATGCAGAGCAACTTAACAAATTCTATAAAAATGTGAACAATTTGTTGATGAATTGGCAAGATTTGTTACAGATTGTTTTAATTAAAAAGGTGTTATGGGATGAAATTTCAGAAACTTTATACTTTTAGGAAAGTAGTGTCTTTGAGATTACAGTCTGCTCTTTCAAAAAAGAAAAGAAAATATCAACAATAGCCCAGGAAATGAAACTAATTAAACTTCTTAGAAATACAAACCAGTTTTGACTTGTTTCTTAAAAACGTGACATGTTATTTGAACATACACATGTTAAAAACTATAAAAGTCATGTATGAGGTAGGTTTTAAACGTTTTTAGAATTTCTCAAATTTCCCTTAAAGATGAATCCCCACCCCCCAACGGCTTTTCCCGAAACAGCTGAAAAAGGCCTTGTATATATATATATATATATACTATAAACATAGTTCCAGGAAACAGACTTGAAAAGTAACTATTGAGCTTAAATAAATAATGTTCAAACTACAATGCTATTACTTCTTTTAATGGTATAATTTAAACTGCTTCAGTCTCCTACACATAATTATGACATGCTTTGTTCTTAAATTCTTACTCGAAAATGTTCCTTTTACGCGTAGTGTTTTAAACTATATAAAATTTATATACAGAATTAAGAGGTCTAAAATCCCAATATCTTTTGATATTTCAGCCACATTACTCCACTATACACTACTATTGCAAAGAGAGAAAAAAAATATTTTCTGCTGGAATAATTTGCTAAAATGGAGTGGAAAATCAGCATCACAGATTGATTTTCTTGTCAGATTAAGTGGACGGCAATACAATACAATGAGAATTGAAATAGCAATATGATCTGTAAATAAGTCATTAATCACATCCTGTAATTATAAATAGAATTGGAGGGAAGAGTAGAAATTTGTAAAGGAGTAATGCTGATAATAGATGTAATTATTAATTATGAAGAGTAATTAGATATAGGATGTAAGTTCAAGTACTTGATTTGTTGTTAAATATTGTAATTAATATTTAGTTTTAATTTTCTGTATAGATGTTATACAAGTAAATGGTTTGAAATTGTGTCCTTGTTTTCAGCATAATTATTTATATTTATATAAAGTGACCTCTAAAGGCTGATTCGCTGATTATTTTCGTTCATCATGAACTTTTACTCTTTCAACAGCTACCATTTATCCATAGTCACATCTATTCTGACAATATTAGTTTATAATCATGCATAATATGCAATAAACAACTTCCTGTTATCATTGTCACTTCCTTTCTAACAATACATATCTCAAGCAGGCATAATATGCAACATACAACTTTCATCTATTAAAGTATCCTAAGTTATTTCTTTTCTGACAAAAGGGATCTTTAAAGCAGGCATGATATGCATTATACAACCTTCCAATAATACAAGGTCACTTCCATTCTGAAAATAGGAATCTCACAGCAGCCATACTTACTAAAATTGAAATATGCATCATTAAACTACATGTATACAAAAGCTCTTCCATTTCCCAATTTTAATGCCAGTTTGTAGAAAGGTTTTTTCTTTTTTTAATTATTCTCCCCCATCATGGTCATTATATGACAAAATTCATCGGATATCTTTTATCTTATTCATTGCCATTGGTCTGTTTAGTTCTTTGACTGCAGTCAAACAGGCTACAGATTTAGCACTAAGGTAATGCTTTGTTGCTTTAGATTCAAGTTTCTTTGCTTCAGTATATAAGAACAATTCATACAATATTAATGTACCTTTGATTGTAAATACCGACTACTAAATGGGTATAAAAAGTGTTGAAAACTTAACTCACTTACTTAAATGTATACAACTTTTTTGTGGTTGAAATTTTACGGCAGATTTAAAGGGATTAGAAAATATATTTCTTGTGACTAATAGAAACATAAAGATCAAGGAATGTTGAATACATAAAAGTACTTTTATAATATAATATTACCTCACCTTTGTTATGTTTTAAGTTTAGTTGTTGAAAATTATAAATAAATTGCATTGAAAAAATAAAATATATATAGGATTTTAAAATTTTCACTGAAGTTTTGTCGAAATCTCTGGCAAACATTGAATTGACTGTGCACATAATTGTTGTATATTTTTACCACCCTTTTAAATCATACAAAATTTACTGCTGAGATGTAGCAGTATTATAATACCAAATATAGCTTGCTGTTACCCATAAATAGTAGGCATTCTTTACGCCATTAGCGTAGCATGGCTGCTTTTCAAAGATTTACGAGGCTATCAGATGAAAATCTCAGAAACTTTTTTTTCCACTTTAGATTGAACTGAGATCGTCTCTCCTCGGAAATTTATAGTGTTTTTGTAGTACAAATACAGTAGCAAAAGATTCTCAGTCATAAAATAACGGTTTTATCTCAAGTTATCAAAAATATTTTTAATTTGTATGAGTTATTTTGCTTATATTTCTAAGACGCTAAGTTAATGATATTGTTGTTTCATTGGTTTTTTTTTGGAATCGTTAGTGAAACTTCCTCTGGTAGAAATACTGAATATTAATCAA